CGATCTGCATATTTTCAGCTTGTTTCACCAGTAAAAGAAGTGGAAAATCTTGCTTCTGAGTTAGAAGAATGTAAGTTCAAATTCCACTCTGGAGCATGAGCACAAAATCATCAGAAATTTATCTTTTGTATGGGAAGTTAAGCTGAGGCTCTGTCCACTCTCTCAGGTGAATGTAAAAGATTCCACAACCACTGAGGTAGTGAAAGCAGATACGGAAACTCGGGTCCTTTATTTCTAAAAATCAATTTTACATTACGCGCTGTAGGGTAGTAGTACACTCTAACCACAAAAAGCTTCCTTTCCATACCAATAATTTATGAGGAATTCCTATCCCGTATTTATGCTCCGATTAGAGCATTCCATTGACACTAGACTCTGTTGTAATCACTAGCACTGCACTGTGTTGTAATGCTTGGATGAGGAATCTGTTGAGTGTTGTAAAATAATGCAAATTATGTTGAAAATGCTATTAGAATGGGTACAAGTGAAATGTGTATTCCAGTTAATTATGTTTTGATGGGGAGGCAGTGGTATATTGGTAATGTTGCTGGCCTAGTAATCTTAGAGATCCAGACTCATACAATGGGAACATGGGTTCAAATCTCTCCGCAACAGCTGGTGGAATTTGAATTCAATTAATAAATGTGGAATAAAAAGCTAATAATAGTGATCATTGTAGCCATGACATAATTATTGAATGTTGCAAAAGTCCAGCTGAATCATTAATGCTATTTAGGGAAGAAAGCCACCATCCTTACTTGGTCTAGCCTACGTATGACCGCAGACTCACAGTAATGTTCTCGACCCTTAATCACTGTCTGAAATGGCTGAGCAAGCCACTAAGTTCAGACAATTAGAGATGGCTTTCCTAACAATCCCCACATCTGCTGAAAGAATAAAAACTAATTTGTTGGAGTGGAAGGGAAGGATGAATAAGCTATAAGATTCTCTGATGACAAATTAGTAAATATTTGTTCTTTTTTGCTTTTTTACTACCTATTGATAACGTATAACATTACACAAAATATTTAATCTACTGTTTTAGCTTTATACCTACCACACATTAAGTAGGATATATCTGACACTATTATAAGTGAGCTCCCGTCATTCCGTGTTGGAATTTGGTTGTTTATGCGTTGCTTGATTACAGTACAAAGAAAAAATGTTGTGCCGTCCTTGGTACTTTGCTTACTGGCAGGATCACTATTTGTGTCTCAGTGTTGTTTATGCTGGTAACTCTTATTTTATTTCCAAACCGAAGAAGAAACCACAACAAATAAAAAATATTTAAGAAATTTTTCCTATTTAGTGACGATTTCACCCAAATTATCTAACCTCATGCAATTCTTTAACATGGAAATTTATAAACACATTTACAAACAAGGTTAAAGTGATGCATAGGGGAAGATTCCAAGGCAGATTTCCCAACTGTCTGATTTCCTTAACTTTGCTGCCAAGAGCTACATTCCTCATGAAGATCTTGATAAGACACAGACGTACTGAGTGAAGTACTTAGAAAGTCATTAGTATGTTGTGTTAAAGTCATACGACATTGGACAACTTGACTGGAGTAATTCTGAAAATGAATAAAGGTCCATCAGAACCTCATTATATAATTTGTCATCTTCAGTTGTGGATTATATGTGCTTTCAAAAATATGGTTGCCACTCAGAATACTGTGAATCAAGAGCAGCCTATTTGAGGGAGATGGCAGTAGCTACCAAATGAGGTCTGACTATCCCTCTTTGCATATTTGGTTTGTGTAATTGACCTAGTTGTCCAAGGTGATTAATAATCTCTCCATGGAGAAAGCCATCTGCTCATATGTTAGACCTATCATAGAACTCAAAGGTTGGACCAACTGAACCATCTGCACAAGGTTCTGCATAGTTTCTGCCACTTACTCCAGACATCGCTCTACTCGTCCCAATGTCTCAAGCAGGCTTATTGTGGCTCAGACCAGAGGCCCTGTCATGAGTCTGTGGCTCAGCATGACCCCAACAACCCTGGTGCAATGTCCCTCATCTTATGGAATACGAAACAATTACATATCCCTGAAATCTGATTGTATCTGCACTGGTGGAAAATCAGGCTGAAACACATTATGGTGCATTCTATGGGTGGTTTTCCTTTGCAGCGTCAAAGATTGACTTATCATCTTCCTCTATAACACTGGGCCTTCTCTGTCTATAATGATGTCCTGTGGCGGAGAAGGTCAAGTGAGAGTTTTAAGAGAATCTCAGTCCATCATGAAACTGAGCTTCACATATGTCTATAATATGCTCTTATTTCAACACAAGTTGTTCTTGAGGTTGTTGCTTGCTCACTGAACTGGCTGGTTATTGTACAGATGTTTCATCACCATGCTTGGTAACATCACCAGTGCGGCCTCCAATTGAAGCGATGTTGTTCTACTCCGCTTGGTATTTATATGATCCAGTGTGTTAAGTTGGATTGTGCCATTTCCGGTTCTGTCCTGTAAGGGTTTGTATCTGGGGTCTAATTCCATATGTTTGTTAACTGCATTACGGATTTAAAACCAGGCCTCTAGGAATTCCCATGCATGTCTGAAGTTGGCTTGATCCAGGATGCTCACGTCGTTCCAGTTAAATTGATGGCCTTCATTGTCCGAGCGCACTGAGATGAGGGAAAGTTCGTCATGTCGTTTTGCTGCTAGCTGGTGTTCATGTGTCCTGATGGCTAATTTCCTTCCAGTCAGGCCGATGTAATGTTTGATGCAGTCATTACAAGGTATTTTGTACACTACGTTGGTCCTGCATGTCTTGGGTATGGGGTCTTTTGTCTGTGAGTGTTTGTCGTAATATGGCTGTGGGTTTGTCTGCTACCATGATTCCTAGTGGCCGTAGGAGTCTTGTTGTCAGTTCCATTATGTTCTTGGTATGGGGTAAGTGTGACCAGTGTATTGGGGCGTACTGTGTCCTCTTAGTGTTGTCTATCTAGTAGGCACCTGTAGATGAAAGTAGTTGGGATATCCCACAACCACACTATGACAAACACTCAAAAGGACCAAAGACCCCATACCCATGACATGCAGGACCAGTGTAGTTTACAAAATGCCTTGCAGTGACTGCAACAAACATTACAACTGCCTGACAGGAAGGAAACTAGCCATCAGGATACACAAACGCTAGCTAGCAGCAAAATGACATGACAAACTTTCCCTCATCTCAGTATACTCGAACAATGAAAGCCATCAATTTAACTGGAACAACGTGAGCATCCTGGCTCAAACCAACCACAGACATGCACATAAATTTCTACAGACCTGGTTTTCATACTTTTAATTCAATTAACAAACATGTGGAATTAGACTCCATATACAAACCAATGCAGAACTGAATTGGAAATGACACAACCCAACTTTACAGACTGGATCATATAAATACCAAGGGGAGTAGAACAACATTACTTCATCGAAGGCTGCACTGATATTACCAAGCATGGTGACGAAATGTCTGTATGATAACCAGCTAGCTCGGCGAGCAAGCCAACAACCTGATGCATAACCTGAGCTACAAATCTTCGCAAGAGCCTTAAACAAGTTTTTCCCACTCTGTTAGCTGTCTTGTCTAGCTTTACCATCCTCAATGAACCAGCCACTCTGCTTGTCTGCAGTCTCCATGCTTTGTGTTTTCATGGCTTTAGAACCTTAAGGTCAGCTATTCCTTTTTTGGTCGTAGCTCTCTCCCTGGCACCGAATATCTCCCACACTGCATGACAAAATGGAGACTTAATATTTTGTCAACGTATACTTGACTTTCTCATTTGCATGTGTTTCCATTCTACGTGCTGGCTGCACAATGTCATTTGTACCCAGTCGCTTTGTCATGCACAGCATCCTGTCCCACCTAGTTTTGTGTTGTACTGTGTTCCTCATAGTTGAATACCTATCAGTGTGTGAAACTGAGCAATGTGTATGGGTGAGGCTCCCAGCAAGTTAAATATGTGCAGGTGAGATGATGATGATGATTATAATGGTGGTTGTTTGAGGAAATAAATGCTGCCTAACTAGCAACACTCACATTCCATCAATAAGGAGAAAAAATAGATGAGAAAAGATGGGAGGAGGGTCCATTGGAGCAAAAACATTGGCAACGTGTAGTTTGCTGAATGATCTGTTTCTGTGCTATATTTCGTCCGTGGTCCTATATAGTTCTGAGATCATGGTCTTCTCGGTTTCAACTTGTGTCGTTGGCTGATAATCACCTGTCCTGGAATTTTTTTAAAAATCCATAAATAACCTTTGATACAAAACTAATTGCAGCCTGAATGTTGCTAACTCAGTAAAGATCTGGAAACAAATCTGATTGCTTTTGATTATTTTGTTCCTGTAACCACCTAAAACCTCAAGTTACCATTTCCAGTGTTATACAATTTTATCGAGCCCCTTTTCTCCCCAGTGTTCTTTTTTCCTGCGCGAGACCTTCACTGTATTCTTCTTTCTTCAAAGGATATTTTGTGGCATCAGAATTTGTTTGAAAAAGAAGTTTGCCCAATCGCATTTCCTTAAAAAATCCTTTCATGATATATATCAATCATAGATTGATAGCTTCAAATGTTTTTGCATGATTACATAAGGAAAGAGATGGTGTTTGTTTGTAGCTTGCCTCAGCCCCTAGTTATTTATGCTGATGTATACCGGCTTACATTGTACAGTTATTGCATTGTGCCATGTCTTAATGCAGTTCCCCGGAAAACCACATAATTTGGAAGTGTTTTCTGTGTAACAGTGATGTCGCAAATTTCTGGCTTAAGAAATTTGTAGTTTTTACTTTTATATGCAGTGAAATCAACAGGAATTTTAAAACACCTGCTGATTTTGGCGGCAGGCTGAAACCCATGAATACGCTTTGCACCTCTTTTATTAATTGATAGTTTTGTTTTTGTGGCTGAGGCATTTCTATTATCAACACCATGCGACGCGCTGATATTTACGAAGAACATACTCACTTAGTTTTTGCCTTCCATCTATTCCACAGCAAGGGAGATGTCACTTGGACGTCAGGAGGCGTTTGAGATCTTCAGAAGAGACTGTGCTGACAGTATAACCATTGAAGACAACAAACAACTTCTGAAGCTGAGGTGAGTCACTCTGAACAGTACCTGATTGTGGAGTAAAAAGGAAAGACTGCCCGTTCTTCAAAACTTAATCATTAACTGCTTGACACATTAAGACAAGCACCATGGTGACCACAGTGACAGCTTTCGAAAAAACTATTGAAATCCACTGCCATGTAGATAAGTCACCACAGAAAAGATTACGAGTCCCAAAATTTCCATTACAATAAGTTACAACAGATTGTTGTTATGTTAGAACTTGACTGTCAAACAAAACAGTAATAAAATAAGCAGCAATTGGTGATGAATGGGAATATGAAAGTCAGAACACAAACAGATCAACAAGGTGCAGAGCTGGATGAACACAGCAGGCCAAGCAGCATCATAGGAGCAGGAAGGCTGACGTTTCGGGCCTAGACCCTTCATCAGAAAAGGGTCTAGG